GAGAAAAAGATGTTAAATTTGTTGTATCTGTTTGGCACCAGGGAATGGGTCTAGTCAGCCTAGTCTAACCTCAATTACTTTGATCTTTAAATGTGAAGAAAGCATTGAGAGTCCTCAAACAATGATGAAATCCACAAGACCAAATGGTCACCTTTCCCAAACAACGAGAAGGAAGAAACAAGGATGTACTAAATGACAGTTATTTTAGTGTTTCTATAGTCTCTTGACAAAGATAAACATCCCAAACCTTGTAATGAGGAAAGAGACACCCGAATATTCCCTCTTGCAACCTCACAGGGAACAGGAAAAAGAGAAAGTGTGGATACAAACACATGGAACCTCGCAAGGAAAGGTTGTGTCAGGACAGGGGGACACAGAGTGCTTAGGACTGCAAAACCCTTGGAGAGAAACTGCTTCAATCCTAGACACTGGTCCTGAACTACACTTAGAACATGAAACATATCCAGAAACAAACAAATTGAAGCAGCATTTCCAGATATCCTTATGGGATAAGAAAGTAGCACAGGGAGAATAATTTATCTCTGCTCTCTTCCCCAAGGAAACTAATGCCAGTTGGGCGGGTTCCCACAACAGAAACAGATTTTCTTCATAGATAGGAAGTGGATTACCTCCTCAGATGACATGCAATGGCTATTATGGAACTACATTCACATAATACACACTCTTCTGGACTCCAACTGATAACAATTACTAGAAATCCCTCTCAATGTTCCTCAGAAACTGCATCTGCAGAGTACAGTCTGAGATTATTGACTCAGGGACTGACTCAGAACTACTGACAGAAGAAACAGCTAAAAGAAAAACCTTCTCCAGGTCTCCTGTTCTTGCAAATTCAGATGCCTTTAGAACTGATCCACCCAGAGACCTGCAAATCAATCCTGACAGAGGCCCTGCTTTGGGCCAGCAAGTACCCAGTGACTGTGGCCCAGGAGCAGACCGCAAGGTGCTGATGGCAGGGCACACCAACACAGCTCACTAAGCCACTCTCTGATGTCCTTGACACACCCCAATGCAGTCCTGAGTAAGGGCATTTTGTCAAGTCCTTAGTGAAGAACAAAGGCCTTATAGGCTGAATGTTGGCCTTCATATTCAGAGTGTTTTCATTTATTTATTTGCTTACTTATTAGAACTGACTGCATTTTCCTTTTCATTTACATGAAAACCTTTCTCAAATCCCCCTGAGACAGCCTTTGAAGGAATTTCCTGTTTTAATACTGATTACTTACACAGCTAACCACTGCTGTACTAATTTTAAAACACTGCAAAGTCACTGTTTTAACAGCAGTTATGGCAATAGTTAAAACTTGCATTTGTTTATTTTTAAATGCATATCACTGTGACTCTTAAAAGTACAGCATATGAGCCAGAGCTGAGATATTTTTGAGTAATGAGAGCTATGGAATGTTCTTTTAAGATCAAAAATTTGCCTGGTCACTGAGAAAAGGCAGTTTCAATTTAATGACCCAGGAGCCACGACACTTGTCACAGTGAAGATGAAGCCTGCAGATATGTCACAGGCATTTCAGATCACTGAGGTTTGTACTTGGCAGCAGCATTCCCTCAGCTCAACACCAACACCTGTGACCTTACAGCACCAAACAGCTGCACACTCTTCAGTAAAACATCTGTGAAGCAAGTGTACCATTTACAATCATGACCGATGGACTTCAGAGCTTGTTCCTGGAACAGATTCCAAGTCCTCCTGGTAATTCTCTCATTCACCATACAGTTGAAAAGGCATGTACAATACTGATGCAACCTGGAGTTTCACCCATTTCTGTTTTCCACTACCCAAGGCTTTTTAACAGGAAAGGGTCAAGTGCCATACAGAAGATGAATAAGTAAGAACTGAAGTAATTTATGGATAGACAGAATATTCTGAAGATTTCGCTAAAGCTGCATATGGAAATTACCAAAATTTACTTTACTTAGAGAAAATAAAAAAAGGAATAGATGCAAACTCCCCCAAAAGGTCACGTTGCTTCAACCAAATTAAGGTCATGACTGTTCTCATTCTTCTAACAGAAAGTAGCATTGTTTGCGTGCATTGTTTTTCATTCCTTTCATCTTCCCTTATCATTTACTAAGAGTCAGCACAGGTTTTTTAAATATCCAAAAAAGCCCATTTGCTTCTTCACAATGTCTAGAGGCATAGCCACAGGAAGAAGTTTCTAAAACCATAAATGTTGTGCTTTTTGAAGTCAAATACTTGTGAAATCCCATCCGTCCCATCGTCAAACGGCAGAACCTATTCAGGTACAGAAAACTGACATTATGGGATCCTTTAATTCTATGGTTTTAACATAGAAAGAACATTTTTAAGAAAGGAAAAGTTGCTCTGTGCATTTAAAGATAGAATAGGCAAAATCATAGCAGAGGACAGCAAAAAGGAGTTTGCAACAGCAGATATGACATCCAGGAGGGGCCAAAAAAATTTCAACAGCACTCCAATGACAGTAGGAGAAGTTGGCATGGCAGGTCACATCAACTCTAATGAAATAAAGAACTATTTGGCAGAAAAGAGCACAAGATAAGACACCAGTCAAGTCCCATATAACCCCAACCACCAGGGACACAGTTAGAGAGGAAAACATATCCTAAATCTTGACATGTACATGCAGGGATCAGGTCTTTTATAGCTGAGGCAGCATCCTGGTCTTCCTGCACAGAACTGGCCTCCCAGAGGCTGCTTTAACTTGAGCCGACACCCGAGGCTGCAGCAACCTCTTCCAGCACCTGTGACAGCTGCATTTCACTGACAGCCTGGTCACGCCCTGTGGGCTAGGATGAAGCCCACTTACACCATAATACATAAGCTACAGACGCCTCTGGACACAAGAGACCTCTTGGGGCCTCACCACAGCTGACTGAAGCGTTGGGGAGACTCTGCAGGTACAGAGCAGGGCAGCTCTGTTGATCACCAACTGCTGTCCCTTGGGAATGAACTAAACATTCAGACTGAAAGCTCACAGGGTGACGGTGTCATAAAGGAAAACTTGTTGGCTCAACCAGCATTACCCAATCATGAGCCAACGGCTTTAGAATGACAGAAGTCAGTATAATTAGAAGCTTTACATGCAATAGCTCCTGGGCATGACCAGTTTCACCCAGGCTCACACTAACCAAGCTGCAGATACCGCAGTGCTGTGCTAACTGAAGCTGTAACGACGATCAGCAGGCACTGCACGCAACACTCAGCTATGTTACACACAGGTATTTCTTTACGCATTCTACTGTGCTGCGGTAAGTGATTGCAGCATCGATACTGTCAATAAAACACGCACCAAATCACGTTTTATCCCTGAAGCCTTTTTTCCTCTGACAGCTTCAGCATTCCAGTTCATGGAAAGAACATAAAGATTTCTGACATAACAAATTATTGCTTTACTACTGGTCTTCAGTCTTCTAACAAAATCCCTTCTGTGCAGATTCTCCTTATGTCACAAATTACTTCATTTCATTATTGCACTGCACTAACCTTGCAAGCTGGCAGAAAACAAAACACACGATACCCTGTCATTTGAAAGACAAATGAATCCATCAGTCTGTTCTTCCCTTTGTCAGCTGCATGCTAGAAAATTGTCACAGGTTACTTTAAATCAGATATTAGAGACTCTACTTAGGAAGCACTGAGAGAACATTTAGGTGGGGGTAGGGAGAGAGAGAAAAGCCAGTAGAGCAGATCATCTTGGAGACTCAAATAGTTTCTAAGTATTGTAGTCTGGTTGGTTTTTGGCTTTTTTTCCAATGGATACTTTATTACTCTTGTACTCCACTTGCACTGAAATTAAGCTATGTTATTCCAAATGTTCCCCAAATACTATTTTGATCAAACCCAACTTTTTAAGTTTCCCCATACATTGCTACCAGCACCTTTGGCTTAGCATTACAGTTTCCTCAAACCTTTGCAGCATACAGTGAGGAAGAAGGGATGGAGAACTCGAATGAAATCAGGCTGAATCTGCATTTCCCTCAGGGTTATTCATCCATGTCATTTGTACCCTAGGAACCCTCTTCCCTCCCCCACCTCCCTTTCCGCACAAGGAGAGACCACTCCTGTACTGCAAAGGCTGTGTCATATTTATGAGGCACAGTGTAACCACAAACGGACCAAACCCACAAAATCCTTGTTTCGTGCAAAACAAGGTTCAGCTCAGTGTAAAGTTTGCAAAATCAGAGATGTGCAGACGCGCTAACGTGGTAAAACGCCCCGCTCGGGGCTTCCCCCACCCCTACACCTCGCTGGGAGCTCCCCGGTCCCCGACGATGCGCCGGGATGCTCAGGCGCTCAGCCCAGAAAGCGCTGTCTCTCCCACCCAGCTGCCAGGTCTTTCTCTTCCAGTGCACCAGGCTATTCGCTATAGCGGGGTGCTGCCTCTATGTCAGCAGCAGCCCCTGATCTCCTCTCTAAGCCCTCCCTCTTCTCCCTCGGCAAAGGGGCACCCGGACTGGCGGGGGTAAACGAAGCCACAAAGGCCCAGCCGGCGGGGATGCCGCGCCCGCCGCAGCGCCCCGGGCAGAGCTCCCGGCCCGCCTCGCCCCCCCCGGCGGTGCCGCCGCATTGTTCTGTCACCTGGACCCCCCCGCGCTGCTGCACCGCCTCCCCGGGGACGGCCCGGGATGGAGGATGAGCCGCGGGGCTGCGGGGGGGGGGGGCGTTCCGCGGCGTGCGCTCTGCAAGGAGCCTCCCATCCCATCCATCCCATCCCATCCCATCCCGCCCCGCTGCCACAGCCGGCGCTGCCCGCGGGGCACCCCCGGGCCGGGGAGCGAGGGCCGGCGGCCCTGCCCTGCCTGCGCGGCACAGCCCGGCCGGCGGGGCCGGGACATTGTCCGCTGTCTCCCCGCCCCCGCACGGGGCTCCCTCCGGCTCCAGATCGCTTCCCCCGGTCCGCCGGGGCCGCGCCGGGCTGCGGCGCTCCTGCATTGCGGCGGGGCCGGCGGAGCGGGGCCGGGCAGCGCCGCCGCTCCCCCCTTACCTGCAGCTCCGCTCTCCGTCTCCGACATGGCACGGGCCGGAGCTGCGCTGCCCAGCCCGGGGGAGGCTCCGCTCCTTCCTCCCGTCCCCACCCCGCTGCGCCTTCCTGCGGGCGGTGCGGAGCCAGGGAGGGCTGCGCGCCCGGCTCGGCGCTGACGGGCTTCCCGCGCCGGCTGCGGGGCTGCACCGCCCCTCCCTGCCCGCAGCCGCACAAGCGACCGGCGGGGGGCGGCTCCGAGGGACTGCCCGGCCACAGCTGCGGATTTCACGGCTGCTGAAGCAGAAACCCCTCCACGGTGACAGATATGGAAAGAGACCCCTCTCCCTCGCCCCTCCCTCGTCCCTCGGCGCCAGGAAAGGGTGCTGGAATCCTGCGGGAGACGGAGCCGTGAGGATGCCTGCGAAGGTTACACCGACAGCTCGTCGTGGGGTTGTTAGGAGTGTGTAGGTACAGGTAACCTGAACAGTCAGACATCATTAACAGGTCCCCCGACGTCATGGATTATGGGGTGACTTTTACAACACGGGATTCTTTTCATTTTTCTTTGGAGTGAACTCTTCCATGTGGTTCTGCAGTGTCATCAGGCCAGAACCTGATGTTTCCAGTGATTTTTAGCTAATTGTCTCCAGGACATGGGAGAGAAACACACCTGCTGTGTGATTAAGTTTAAGAGTTTTCCAAACTATGTAAGAGGCCATTACAAACACAAGAATAAAAATAAGGCTGGTATCCTCCCATGAACAATCCTGGAGCCAGAGAAAGAGTTCTGTTTTCCTCCCATACTTCATCATCTATTTCTCCTTTGCTTTCCAGCCTCAGCAGCCAGTCACATTTTGAAAGCACTGCCAGCAATTCACGTGAAATAAATAAAGGCATTAACTCCAAGCACAACCTCCGAACCTTGATAATTCCTAGGCTCAGGAGGTCACTGACATTCATTGCAGTGTAAAATCCACCCAGAGTTCTCCCAAGTCCTCTCACCAAAGCTGTTGCTCACACAAGGCAGGATCCCTGGGAAACCCCTGGAGACTAGGGAATTTTGAAGTAAAGTGCCAGACACTGCAGGTGCTTACTCAGCACCTCCCTCTGTCCCTGGTTTCTTGCTCTCATGGCGTTTTCTCTGTTCCCTGTGAGTTTTATTGCCTCTGAGGACAGAAGGTGTGGCACAAAAGTTAAAGCACTAAGCTCCTTCACATCTGCACATCTGACTCCTCTCAAAGACCTTCACCTGGTACGCACTAAAAAGACTACCTCTCCCTGAAAGTGTCTCATCCAGGGAAAAAGCTGAATTCAGTTCTCCACCTCCCAAAATCAGCAGCCCAAAGGGATTTTCTACACTGTTGAGGAGGAGAGAGGGAAGGAGCACCGTGGAGCAGCAGCTCATTCCACTGTTCACATCAGCTGTAAGCTTAGGTTCCCTGGGACACTTGGTAACATGGGGATCACCCACGGTGCAGTGGGACAGCGTGCACTGGGATGGCCGCTTCCTGCTCTTCCCTCAGCTCCACGCCAGGCAACAAAGGGGAACATCTGGCCAAGAGTTGGCTTTAATTACCTATTTTGAGTCAGGCTGAATATTTACACTGTCATTAAACAGCCTCGGAAATAAGAAACCAAACAACTCCAATACTTGGTTTCCTGACAAGAGACTTAAATAGCAGAAACTTTTCCTTCAAATGAAAAGCTTCAATAGCAATTAATGGTAGGCTTTAAACATGTATTGAGATGATTAACTAAGACAGAGGAAAAGAAAAGAAGCAATCAAGAAATACATAAACATATACACAAATAATATGCTTTGTGGAAAAAACAAATATTGTATGCAGGCTAATTCCACAATCCCTCAAGCAACAAGACACCACACATAAAAATAGCATTTGCTGGGTACAGACGTCTTTCCGAATGTCACGGCAGTGACTGCATTATTCAATATCAGGCCAGGTTGCCTAAGTTACACACTCAGCTGTAGGTGTTTTGAATAATGCAGAAGGAGAATATTTGAAGGCATGTGACTGACTAGCTAGTTTCAGAAATAAGACCTTTTATGATAGGTCCTTTTAAAACCATGTTGAAAAGAGATGCATTTAAAATAAAATTAGACTGTCGATCTGAAATATAAAATTGAGAACTAAGGCCCCTTAAATTTAGTTTTGTTTTATATAGATAAAAATTATATAAATATTAATTGTAGAAAAATAAAATATTTCATTAGTTTTACCTTGTCGTCTCTCTCTCCCCTGGAAATGAAAAAAACCTACATTTCATATGAAAGAAAAAAGTCTAAAAATAGTGACTAAAATGTAAAAATGGAGGGATGGATTTTGACAAAGATGGAATAAATGAAGTCATCTACATCCTCTGAACACCTGTTCATACAAACACCTCAGCTTTATCCATACACAAGATTCAATTTTAGTGTGGATCTGGAAAGAATTTTTTTCTTTCTCAGTGAAGTAACATCAGCTAGCTTAGTACACTACAGGAAAGTAGTAGCAGAAAGAAAACCTTTTTTTGACCCTGAAACATCAAAGTGTTATTCCATCAGGCAACCGAGGCACCCATCAGTGTTCAACTCAAACACCAACCCGGTTATTGTGGTACTACTGTGACTATGGGGAAAAGCATGATTTCTGCAGTAGCTTGGGGCAGATGTCTGCTTTAAGTTCCCTCTCAGCCATCTACTTTGGACTGAACACCCCTCGAGCACAATCAAGAAGTGATTTAATATACTGTATTTTGCATCTGCAGCCTAGGTGATCCCCAGAAAGCTGTAGCCTCAAACCATTCAATTCATCACACAACAGATTCAGACACATGGCAGACACTGACAGTACAAGAGCAGTAGCTGCCTAACCTAGCTCTGATTTTAGCAGGGGTACCACATACGTGTTATCCATCAGCATCAATCAAAATTTCATGAGAGAACTGAAGATCACCAGAGTGCCCTTTCAGGGCCATACCAGCACGTTGTGAGAGCTACAGAAAACTGTGGCTAGTCAGTGAAAAGAGCTATGTGCTTCTTACTTACGAGTCTGAGGGTCTAAGTGAGGCACTGATGGGGCAGCACGGAGAATCAGTGAGCTGGAAACATGAGGCTCAGAGATCTGGAGGAAATACAGGCATTTGAATATTGCTTTCAGTGCACTTGGCAGTACGATGTACAGACAGTATCACAGTGCACCGCTGAAGCCCAATATGCAGCCCAATTCTGGTACCAGGGAGAGTTGTGTCTTTAAAAACTACATCACGTTTAAAACAAAAGATTAGAAAGCAGGTAAGCATGCCTTGCGTCTGGACAGCAAGATTATGAGACAGCATGCAAGATTATGAAGAATGCCTCATAAAGCACTATGTTTAACTGCCCAATTAAAATTCCTAGATTGTTTCTTACAATCAAAGTTTCCTCCTATGTAGTTTCTGGAGCATCGTTAAACATGCAATACCCGGGTTCTGTTTGTCCCCTGCATAACTGTTATTGCAGTCTCCTCCTTCATTTCAGCTGTACAGTTTTTCAGCTTACAGCACTTAACCTTCTCCAGCTCTGCTTATTGGTTCATGTGCTAAAAAACTTAAAAATTATTTTCATTACGGAGTCAACTGGCAATCTGTTATCCTAGATGCAGTTTTTATCTTCCCCTTTCCTAAAAGCAGCCTTTTATTTTGATACTCAAGAAGTCTCTGTAAAGATAAGAAGAATGAAAAACTATTAATCACTGTCACAGCCTTTCAATAAAGAAGCTTATTGTGCACATAGGAATACGAAGGATTTCTTAAAAAGGAACAGGTTATATAATTTTCACCTGTCTTTTATACATTTCTCATTCCTGATATCCTGGCATCTGTTTAAAGTGTATCCCTCTGGGAACACTGCTGGCATAGAGTTCTCCAGCATTTCACAGCAGGATGGTTTTTCAGCAAAACTGCTGCACTGGGGACAGTGGAAGTGTGGCTCTGGTGCTCACAAATCTCTGGCAACACACTAACTCATTTGGAGAGTACTTTCAATTATGACAGCCCTCAGCACTGCTTACACTGTTTGTGTGTGTCCAGCACTCCCATCATATACATGTTCTAGAGTCTTCTCATGGATCAAAATGGAATGTGTAGCTGCTGTGTGCACAGGATTAAAACATAAATTCAGTCCCAAAGAGTTCCCACTCATGTTGTATGTCCTGAACACCTTTTCTCCTTAAATTCATTGCCCTTCCTCTACTCTGGGTGTCTTAAAAGCAGAACAAAGCCAAAGAAACACAAACCACAAACAAACAAACCCCAAGAAGAAACGGATGTATTATATAACTTAACATGATCATACCATCATCTGTTATTCTCCAAATATGCACCCAACTATATATGGTAAAAAATGCTATTCTGTCAAGGCATTTTTAAAATATCAACCAGATTGTGCATCCATACTGCCTTGTTTCAACACACATTTCTTATCATTTCTAAAGAAACAAAGCTCTGTATGCATCAAACAATAAACTTGATTTTATTCCATCGTTCCTGTGGACATACACATTGCTCAAATAAGTGATGAGTACGTTGGCTCCCAGTGAAGTCAATAAATGTGGCAAATGGCTCAAGCCACCTCTAAAAACAAGGAACTACAGTTGGGTAGGACAAAATTCTGCAAAGTTTTGCCTGCCTTTTTCAAACGACCTCTGCTCTAGAGAACACGCTGTACCCCCCAGGTGGCATGTTTAGGTGTTATTGCTCATACCCGTGCTTTGCAGACTGCTTCACTGAATTATATAGCATTAGCAAAATTGCGCTGTTATTTGCAGAGCAAGTTATAATTCTGTCCCTTAAAATCATCCTGTACCAGCTCAAGAATACTGAATTTGCCCAAGTAAAGGAGAAAGGAGTCAGAAAATTAGCAGGTAAGTGACATAGGAATACATAGTGAGTACATTCTCTAACTGTGCACCTGTGATAGATAAAAATGTCATCACAGAAATCCACACAACATATGACAGTTACTAAACTCCTACCTAATTGCTTTCTGAAGCTTCCTCTGGTCCAATTAAATACTAGAAAGAAAAGACAGAATACTGAAAGATAAGCAACACATGATTGCCATGATACTCAAAACAAATTGTGTCTAAGGGGAAAATCTGAAACTAGTATTATATGCA